TTTATTATTAGAATTAATTCATAATGGATAGAAAAAAATATCTAAAAAAGTTTTATTAAAATTTGGAAATAATTGCAAAGATATAGAATATTGTATAATGTTGGATCTTTTAGATAATCTAGTACTAGCAACTTTAGATATATATACTATTCTTTTTAAATCTAAAAAATTTAATCAATATTTTGATACATTATTTAGATTATAGATATTTGCATTACAGTGGAAAAGAAAAAAATATAACAAAGCACCTTTAGCTTTTATATCAGATTATCTTTATTGGCATAAAAATAATCATCCTTTAGCAAATATTATATTACAGCATTTAGTTAATTTTAATGATTATTTTGTTAAAAATTTTTATAGTAGATTAAAAGCAAATATGAATGAAAACAGCACTGCAGATCATATTATTGAACAATCTTATGTTTAGATATATATAATAATTAATTATTTAATACTTTTTGTAATAAAAAAGTATATTCATATAAACCAAATCAATTAGAATATTTAACAAAAAAAAGTAGTTTATTTTTAATAGAATATTTTCAACAAATTTTTCAAAATCTTGAAAAAAGCAAAATAATTAAAAATAATAATAAGATTAAAGTTATTTTAGCAACATTAAATAAAACTTTAGATACTACATATTTACTATCAAGATATTATATAGCTCATATTCCAGCATTAGATACTTGTGATCATTGTACAATTCCAATTAGATTTTTAACTAGAAAAGTATATATTTGTGGATATTCATATCATGATAATTGTTATAATTCTATTCATTCTTTTTGTAACCATTGTTTAGAATATTATAAAAAAGGAATTTTCAACAAGTTAAATCATTTAAAAAAGAATTAGAAAAAAATACTGATAAAGATGATATTATAGATAGTAAAAATATTGATAATGATAATGAATTAGATAAAGAAAATAATGAAATTAATAAAAATATTTTAGATGATAAACTTCAAATAGCTATTAATACTATTAATCAATAGTAATTATAAAATAAATTATTTATTAATTATAATATATAAAATAATATTTTTAATTTTTTTTTTAATAAATATTAAAAATTAAAATATATAATATTTAATTATATATAATATATATTATTTATAAAATATTAAATATAATTTTTAATATATAAATCTATTATTAAATTAATAATACAATCCTAATATAATTATTATAATACAAATCTACTATTACAATACAATTCTATTATAATAAATACAAACTATTTTATAATTTTATTATTTTATAGTAATTTATACTAATAATAATACAAGACTATTATATACTATATTATTATAATTTAAAATTTGTCAATTAGTTTATTAAATATATATATTATATATCAAAATAAAATTATTGTAGATTTAAAATCTAGTTAGATTGATTTTAAATAAACATAGATTATAATAAAATTTTAAAAAATGCTCAAGTTGATAAAAAATTTTAATTTAATTTACAATAAAATTATATAGTTTCTAATTATTTTATTAAGTATTTTAATTTAGAATTTAAATTATTTAAAACAACTTGATACAAATTTATCTATTATGGCAAATTTATGAAATAACCCCCCAAAATTTGAAAATTTTGACCACTAAGTAAACAATAATGATTTTTGACTGAAATAACTATTACCTCCAAGTGAAGATACATTATTATAATAAATTTCTATATCTAATAAGGTGGAAAGATGGGTTAGCACATGGAAAAGATGGGTTAGACGCGTTATCAATCAAGATCAGAAGTCCAAAAAACTTTTTCGGTGTTTAATATTGATTTATTTATATGTCATTTGGTAAATAAAATTTAAAATTGAGAACTAAATACTCAGATTTAATAACCAAATTTTAGCTTAATTTCATAAATTTGCTATAATGCAATTATTAAATTTAGAATCAATATAGGTTGCTTTTAAATTTCCTATCAACTTGGGCTATATTTGGTATTCTATTTTAACTTAAGTGGATTCTAATCCATAATAATTCTGTTTCAATGTACAACATATAAGTGCTGCAGAGTGAAAACCTGGAAGTGAATATTTAAAGATTTCACTATGGTAAGTTTAGCCCTTGATGAATTGCAATATTATATATTGAAAATCAGTGTTCTGGTAATTTTAATAATATGTATAATTTAAAAATTGGTTAATTAATAGAGCGATGAGCCTAATTTGTATTTCTATATTAAAATGATATATACTATTGAAACTGATCATACATATGATTAATTACGTAATATCAAAATTCATCAGGGGCTAAACTCACCAAAGTGAAATCTTTAAATGTTCACTTCCAGGTTTTTGCTCTGTAGCACTCATATATACTGCTACAAATAGTGCTCCTAAATGGTCAGAAAAACTAGAGCAACTCAAATTTTAAACTCAAGCTTAAAAATATATTACACTATTCAGATACAAGCTTATCATGAAGAGTTAGTAAAACTTAGATTTTGTTATGGACTGATCTGATCAACTATCAGGATGACTGTTTCGAAGCACTAGCAGTGAAATTATTATGATTTTTGATAGAAAGCTGATATTTATCTTTATACCAGTTTTTCGTTTTGAACAAAAAAAAAAAAGAACAAGTTAATACAACTAAAGAGATAAAGAAGTAAACACACAGATAAAAAAGTAATACATATCTTCAAGAAAATAAACTTCTAGTACTGGCACTAATTTTACATTTCGGTAAAGCAAACTTGCAAAAAAAAACTAGTCTAGCTAAAAAAAAATTAAATACATACATAAAAAAAACAACCTATCTTTAAACTAGTCTTCCAACTAAGTAAATCTCTAATACCTGGTCTATCTTTTATTTTAGTAAACTTGTAAAAGAAAAAATTAATTAATAAACCCAAACAGAAAGTGAATTTATTTTTATATACAAGAAAAAAAAAGATATTTATCTTTATTCTCCTACCTGATCTAAACTATAATTCAGTGAACCTAACCTAAAAACAAAAAGAAAATTAAACACACAAAGAAAAAAAAAACTTTATTCAATACATGGTTTGACCTTACATTTCAGTGAACTTAATCTGCAAAAGAAAGAATTGGTTAGTATATCTAAACAGAATGAGAATTAAATATATATAAGAGAAAGAAGATACTTATCTTTATACACATGTGTTTGCTAATTTAATACATTATATACCACTATTTTACTAAATCATACATAATTACTATTCACATTACTCCAAAGAAAATTGACTTCAGCTAAAAACTGAAATTAATAATTAGCCAAATTAATTTTTTGAGATCAACTTAGTTCACTAAGTTTTCGGCAAGTAAATCTCCAATACCCAGTTTAATTTCACATTTTAGTAAACCTAACTTACAAAAAAAAAAAATTGTTTAGTCCACCCAAAAGAGAAAAAAAAAAAATTTTCATAAGAGTTTCTAATGAATAAAGCCACAATACCTACCTGGTTTAATCTTGTGTTTTGGTGAACCTAACCCACAAAAAAAAGAATTGGTTAATATACCTAACACAAAAAGAATCAAGCATATACAAGAGAAAAAAAAATACATATCTTCATACAGTTTCT